CGCTCATCCAATGGGTACCAAAGGACTAACGTGTAATATATCCTAATTACATGGTTAGGGCGGCAGCAGTGCTATGGAAGCGAAGGGGTGTGAAACTGGCTTTGGGYGCTCTAATTGTACGCGAGGGGTTGTTGGTCGGTGATTGCCACTGATTGTGCGTTAATCACCCACGCCCTTCTTCCACGGAGAAAATGCGATACAACAGAAAACGTTTATTAATTCTGTAAGCGCGCTGAAGCCTCTGAATTCTCACTTAATCCAGACATTTCGTTTTTGATTTCTTCACCGTTTTAATACGTGTTTTGATGAAAAAAAAAACGATTCCAAGCGCGTTTCCGAAGAATGTAGAATGGCAGCATTTATTTTGTTTCAAACCAATAAAGGTTTTATTTTGAGCGATTTTCTTKTGTGACGAAAGCCAAATATTCAAATACCAAATACCAAATAATAATTTTAATTTATTTTTAGTGATTTGATTTATTATTTTTTCTCGTCACTATATGCGGTCCAATAATGATGTAAAATAATTGTAAATCGCACAGTAGTAAAAGTCATTCGATGTTTTTGGTTYAGAAATTAAATTAAATCTACGAGATTCAAAAGGGGTCCGGATATAAATTGATAATCGTGGGTTTGGAAACCTTTTCACCGTCAACTACGTACTTATATTACGACTCGAATCATTCCCATTAGCCTAAGTCCTAACGAACTATACTYCCACCTACACCTGATATTTAATCGACCTACATATAGAACTTTGAAATGATAATAATAATACAGAATTGAATTTTAAATTAAATTATTTAAAAAACAAATTGTAAGCTACAACATTTAAATGCGTAAACATATTTAAATGTAATTTAAACATTTAATTACTTAGACATAGATTTCCATTTTTTTATTAGTAGTTACTAATTTAAAATATTAAATATTTACATAGATTTAGTCGATTTACCGTTACATATATATTATTTGAACTAGAAAGTATACTTTATTTTTGGATATAATATTATTTATTTTCTACGTTGCCATTAAAAGTATGTTTTAAATATTTTTATTGATTTTCAGATATTATTACGACAAAAATATAATGACGAAAGTTCACGGAAAAAGGTATGCGTACAAGTTCGACTTTCAAGGGTTGGCAGCAGCTACTCAACCAGCTGCTGCAGATCCGTCTGCGTACAAATATCAATCAGATTTGTTTATGACAACCTACCACCATCATCACCATCATTCACCGAAATTAAACTTCATGTCACCTCATGCACCTGGAATAACATCTACAGCAGGTAAACTTCATATTTTATTACAATAAAATAAACAGAATAAAAATAGTTATCGTTCATTTCCCATACTAACCAACTTTTACGTGTCAGAAAGAAATAATATTTTATAATCATAGAAAACAAAAATATATTAATCTAAATACAAAAAGTCATTAACTTTGTTTTTTTTAACTGCAACAAATAAAACTAAAAGGGATGTTTGAAATTAAAATAATTCGTATAATAATAATAATAATAATAATAATAATGATTATTATGCTATTGCCCAACCATAATAGGACTTTTGTACTATTAAGTATATTATATATTTTTTTAAATTAGCATATTATTATTATACCTCGTGGTGACTAAATGAATTATTTTAATATCTTAATGTAGGCAATTGTTCTTTTATACTTATGATGATTATATTCTCCTTTCCTCGTAGTGAAAAAATGTATTATTGAACAAATATATTATTCTGTAAACTAACCAAATTATATTATTCTAAATTGTAATGCCATGTTCAAATTATAATTAAAAAAAAATATTATTATTATTAAAGCATGCAAAATACAAATATCGTGTAAACATCATATAAACTCAAAATCTTATTACTTTATGATTTAACCACCTATTCTCTGATTATTATTAATATTATTTTATTTTAGATTTTATTGACTAAACTGCATAAACCTTGTAAAACTGTATAATACATGTAAAAAATGTATAGAGCGCAATTGGTCTATCGACCCTAACATTTTTAGAGCGCAATTGGTATATGAAAAGGTAATTTTAAGCGCAATTGGTAAACTCCCCTATTTTGACCTAGAAATGACCTAGGTGATCAGAAATTCATGTTTCAAAAATGTTGTTAGAAATATGACATAATCTTGATTATTTGGATTATGATCGTAATTATAACCCTATAGTTATTTTCATAATACGTATTTCTAATCAAACCGTTATAAAAATATTTTTCAAATTATTATAGGTACATTAATAAATTTTGTGTAGATATCAAATTTGGACCAAACATTAGGAATAATTACTGATAGTAATATAGTATAATAGTATATACACTATACAATATACATATATACTAGTTGGGTCCCAGATTGTTTTATTTAGGCTTCAAAAATCCAGGACTATCCCAACTAAAATTTGGCACTCAACTAATATACAGGACTAAAATTAATTCAAGGCCCAACTCGGATGAATCGAATGCAGCCGACGCATAGTACATATATATATATATTATGCGATGTATATTAAACGCGAAAAACGGCGATGAATGGTTAATACAATAATATACCTGCAGTTACTGTGATCTCAGAAAAAGCGAAACAAAACTAACGAGATTACAATAATCTATTATTTTTGATTAGGAATGACGACAAGACATTTTACAATATAATATTATATCCCTCGCTAGAGGTGTATACGTACTGTTACTATTATGCTAATACTACTATTAGTAATAAATAATACCTAATAATAGTAATAATAATAATAATAACAATACAGCCAGTCCGGCGGCGTTGAAGGGGAACTATAATATAATAATATAACGTCTTCGTCGCGTCGTTCGTGCATGCAAACAGTGTATGTGTTTCTGTGTGTGTTTGGTTGGGGGAAAAGTGTACTGGGTAAACTATATATATAGGCAAACAACCCGTGCGAAAATCATTCGTATGTAAACGACGACGACGATTGTGCTTTTAAAGCGTGAAAGTCGCACGACCAGGAACCGGTGACACTATACACAATAATATTATAATATATATATATATACATTGAGCGCGCAAAAAGCAAACAAAACTTGTCAACCGCATGCCTTTTACCAGCGGCGTGACCGTGGAAATTTACAWCGAGCTCAGAGGTGGCAATGGCATAGTCGATATAGGGTGCGCATGTACACAATACACACACACATATATAAATAAATATGTATATATAAATCCTACTACAGACGGGTTATATTGACCCATTTGTATTTATAAAAGGTGGGAAAAATCCCGAAGAAAAAAGAAAAAACGGCGAGTTTTTTACAATAAATTTTACACCTTCATCACCTCTATAGTATATATTCACGTATATACCAAGCGTTTGCGTGTGTGCGATTTCCGCTAAAAGCACAGTCGTATGTGTACTTTGAACTCGACGTGATTMTGGAAACGATTCGTTGAGATAGGTTAAATCATCAAAAATGTACGACAAAAAACTACAACAACAATAATAATAATGGTGCTTATGATGCAAAACTCGGTAAACCTACCCTAAAATATGTTGTGGAAAACGCGTTGATGCGCGTAATGTGTATGTTATAATATATGACTATACGTGATTTTTACTTTGTATTTATCGTATATATACCTAAATATAGACATTTTTTACAACACAATATTACATATCTCTTAACTCACGTACCTACATTGAAAATCAAAAATCGTAATCACACGTATCGTCATGGCATTGTAAAAAAAAAAGAACAAAACAAAGTTTCGACCCCTTACATTGATTTCTATAATATACTATTCGCCCCTTTCGAAATTAATTTCCACTAACTGTCGGAGAAAACGTTAGCTGGAAGACCTTTAATTTAACGRTATGCAAATGAGGTAAACTTTGGTTTTATATATTCAAACGAACATAGTATATTGGTTTACATGTCTTGACTGCCGATTCTGAGGATTAACTTAATCGAATCGAGTAAATTATTCTTATTTCAGCCCAATTTACATATTATATAAGACTCGCTACCCTACTACTATGTTATAATATAGGTACCTATCCTGTTAAAATTACACCCGTGATGGAACGACCTAATAGTAAACATTTTTTTGAATTTTAATCCGTCAAACCATTTAATTCAATCTGTTTTACTCATTATTATTCATACATAACTAATATGGTATAATTTAGTTTATATTTTTGATGTTGCTAATTGTTTAATATTATAAATTTATAAATTTATTGTTTATGTTTAATCCCTCTCTTCTGTTTCTAAAGAGCTTCGATTCTCTGATACAAAAAAAGAGATGGTTAAAAAAAATTCGACCAAATATTAAAAATACTAAAATACTAAAATACTAAATACTAAAAATYTAAAACTAGTTTTAAACTAACTATAAAATAAGCAATTCACTACGACTAAATAACCTTTCATATTATCACTAATCAATCAATATAGGTTATGACTTATGATTAATAGCAAAAGTCATACCTACTTAAAAACGTAATTTAGAAACTTGAATTTTTTTTTGTCTCAAAACAATTATTTTGCAACATCACTGCATGTAACTATATATTTAATGATCGWATTATTCGATTTCGAGTATTAATTTCTAACGAACTATCGAGTGATCGTATTTCTCAAAGTCCAGTGTTTCGAGGGTTCGAGAACCCATCCCCTCCTATTTATAGTATAATACATAGAAACGTAACCACCGATATACGACGCGCGCGTCATAATAATATACAATGGTAAAATATCATCGTCTAAACGTGATTTATATATTATAAGGATGATGCGTATATAATGTTACATAGCCGACGCGGTCGTGGAATTCATTAGACCCACTTCGGGAACATTTCAGTGAGTTCGCGTGCATCATAATATAATGTGTAGTACAGTATAGTGTTGGTGTGTACACATAYAGTAGTATATTATGGTATAATATTATATAATATATATAAAGTCGCAGACGGTGGACCCCACGCGCGTACATTAAGAGAGCCGGAGATTTAGTGCAAACCGAGCGACGATATTTATACACGCCGAAACGAATCGTCTGTCTCATTAGCCGTCCACAATGGGCCCTTAATGACCCTGCCGCCGCAGTCGTTCGGTCCTTGCCGCGTTTAATGACTGCTGTGCAGCGCTGCGGACCCTTCAATGTGTGTGTGTGCGCGCGCGCTGTATACGACGCGCTATATACTTTTACGCGAGCGACAGCGACTGACGACACCCTCCGCTCCCGAAGACATTGTATCCAGTGATTTTTCGCTCTGTTGCRCACCGTTACTATATAATAATATACTAAATCTATGATATATTGTTATACTCGATCGCGCGCATCGTCACCGACGTCGTCGGCATTAATCGTCCGGTAAACGTCACGTCGCGTCCTATCGTAGATAATATTACGACGTACAACATAATAACAATGAAATATTAAAACATTTTCTGTCATCGAAAAAGGATTATCATTTTATCATGTAAAATGCCCGCCATCGGTTTCACGCGATGATAAGTATAGGAAATAGGAATACGATGACGTCAGTCAGCTGCGGCTATATGTAGCTATATAGTATAGCTACAGCAAACGAACACGATGGCAATTCGTCTCAAAAATATATACGATACGAATTTGCTCGAATTAATATATTTAGTCGCTTTCAAATGATAAATAAATAAACACTTATATTTAGCATATTAAAATAAGAAAATACTTAAGGTTCAAAACTATGTAGTTAGTAATTCAGTATAATATGATGATTGGAAAATGTTTAATTGAATGTACTACAAAACTGCATACCGTTTACACATCAGCGTTTGGTGATTTTTAATTTGTTATATTCACTTTCATAGTACTACACTACTATATACTCGTACCTATAGTTATTTACTTAAATTTATCAAACACACGAAACCGATACTCGATACACATAAGACATAAGCGTCTACAAAACWTAAATTTACGGTCATAACTAGGGCTAGGATTTATATGCATTTGCATGTTTTTTCCCTTTAGTCCAAATTGATTGGTTATCAGATTTGTCCACGATTTGGCTTATTCTCGTTTAAATCGGACCAATTTTTTTTTTGCATATTTTGGACATAATGCATATAATTGCATATTCATCATTTTTTTTTAAATTCGATTTTTTTTAACTAACATTTTTTAATTTTTATAAGTTATTGTTAATTTTAAATGGTACTTCACGAAACCGACAGTTTTTGATTTATCCGTTGAATTTTTGTAAATATATAGCATAAATACTACCTATTTTATCTTAGGTCAGATAATATCCGTTTGTTACCTTATCGTTGGTCGGACGACCGGTAGAATTACTTACACATTGTTATACAGTGAGG